TGTATTACTAGCAGCCATACCCAGCTGGTTGATCAGAAAAAGCGTTCAATTAGAATGGAGCAAAAACAGCATCATGTTTAGATGTAACAGAGTCTATCTTCAATTACTTTAAAGTAAATTCATTAAAAACATTTTGAATTAATGCAGTTAGTGATATAACAGAAGTTGTCTGTATTTATTCAATTGAAGTTAACCAAGGACACGACAGGGTAAAACAGGCAACATGAAGACCCACTTCAGACTAGAATTATTTTGGAGTTTTTGGAATTCAATCTGTCAGTGTGCTACCAGGGATGTAAAAGAAGATATATTTATAAAGCAATTGTTAAATTTGATGAAAATTGGTTGAAAAATCAATGAAAAATAAGAAACAAACCTGTAAAAAAAATCACCATTTTTCACTATTTATGCGGGTTTTATGAAAGTTTAAACAATCAACTTATTGGCTACAATTGAGTGAAGTTTGTATTAGATTGCTTGAAATTTGAGGGAGTTTTTAGTTTAAAATTTGCGTTGAAATCAATTTGTGTAGAAACTGAATTTCCATTTTTCATGATTTTTTGCTAAACACAGTGGTGTAGAAATAAAAATGAGGTATCGTTGAGCTCGTCATGATGTAAGTAACTATCAATATCAAGTCTGAAAAAAACCAGAGGAAAAAAGATGAATTTATCGATATTTGATTGGCTTTATTGATTATTGATTTTTTATGCTAAGAACCTATCTCTTACATTGTACAATGTATGTGCCAAGTTTGATCAAAATCAGTGGTATGGATCTCGAGTGAAAAGGTATCACACAGACAGACACACAGAGACTTCCTCTGTTTTATATATATAGATAATTAATTTTTACACTTGGAAACATTAGTGACTCCGAAATATATACACTAATGAAAAAAAAAAAAATTGGAACACACTGAAATATGTATAGAATTTAATCAAGATTAAACATACAGGTAATATAGACCATTAATGTCCAACATAATAATTTGGTATTAGGTTCACCTATCGTTTGGTTCCCCACTTGTTTTCTGTTTAGGATTGGGCTTCTAGTTCCTTCTAAAGAATACTTCAATTCTATACATCTAATGTCTCCATGTAAACCCTGAAATTTTATTTAGTATTTATTCGATTTTTTTTTCTCAATCAGAGTAGATAGGTTCAGCTATCGTTCGGTTCACATGCCTCCCCAGACTATTGAACAGGAGTAGAGTTTTATGTCTCGTTTCCTGTTTAGGATTAGGTTTCTGGTTCCTTTCTAAATTATTTTCATTCTCTTTCACTCCTAGTAGCCCCATGAATCTTAGTGGCATTACTGCCTTGTTTGGGGTGAATTGATTAAAAAAAAAAAGAAAGAAAAATCAGAATCTGGTATTCATTATCATCACATGATTGGGTGTGGTCATAGAGTTACTATGCAGTTGATCAATTCACTCCAAATATTGAAATGGTTGAAAATCAGGGAATTATTCATTCATGGGTAACATGTCTTGAGTAAGTCAATTTAGTGGAGCCAATCGCTCTCCAGGTCAAATCAAATCTCATTTCTTGGACATCACAATGTCATGGACTAAGAGAGAAATCAATAAATAACTGAATAAGTCAAGCTTTGGCTCATCATGTCTTAAACACGTTCAATGGAGACAGGTCTGGTAACTGTAGCAGTTGGAGAAGTTCTTGAACAAATTGCAAAGCATGTTGAGTACTGTGGGAGACATGCGGCAGGCATTATTCTTCTGGGACAGCATATCATCCATCATATGATTGTAGGATATAGTTGCAGAATGACTTGAATAATATTCTGGACATATTCCTCCCACAAACCACAAAGGTGAGTGCGAGTTGCAATTTGCATGATGCTAGATGTTGTCTCTGTGCTATGGGCAAATAACTCTTTAAATCTATGTTTGATCATGAAAATGACAACTTGTGTAAATATAGAAGCCATTTTTTTTAGATAATAATGATTTAGTAATACAAGTTTTATTAATTAACCCATAGCTGGGGGGTTGAACAGATGGATTCATGCTTAACCAGAATTTAAAAAACAAACAAGAAATTATAATGTGGATATAAAGTGAGGGATCAATACTACATTACAATCAATATATAAACCTAATCCCTCACTTTGTGGTCACTGTAGTTTCTATACATTTATATCCCAGAGAATGTAAATAAATCTAAAAGACATGCCTGTCTAGCTAATCAGTATTTCATTGATTTGCTTTCTAAGGCTTATCAACCCTTTTTAGGTTATTTAAAGCCAGAAATTTTGTTCAGATTTTAAGACTTTTATTTTTTCAGATAATAATTTAGTGATAAAAGTCTTACTAATTAACCCATAGTTTGAGGAAGAAGAGGTGGAGTCATACCTTTTCCAAGGGGATTTGCATGTAATTGAATATAATAAACCCAATGAGAAATGGAACTCAGCTCTTTGATTAACACATTTGCAGCCATTATCCATTATACCACCTGCACATCTAAGTTTATAATAACTGGTATTCCCAAGCAGTCACCCATCTAGTTACTGACCAGGCTGGATGTTGCTTAACTTCGATGATTGTATGGGAACCAGTGTTTAAAGGTGACATGGCTGTAAGCACCCATATTTTTTAGATGAGGAATTATTATTGCGCTTTGCTATCTGGATTACCATTCTCATCTTGGTTGTTATACTCACAATGTTTCAGCCATTTTATTAGCCAGTCTTCATCAGGTGTCCATGCCTTTGGGTATTTACTCATAAGTAAATATAATGAACCCAACCAGAATTGGCCTTTCTATTCTGACCAGCATTCTCATCTTGGTTGTTATACTTACAATGTTTCAGTTGCTATACCTTCCAGCCTTCTTCAGCTGTCTTTGTCTCATATGCTTTTCAGTTATGACCCGCATACTTGTTTTGATTGTTATTCTCACAACATTTTGGCTATTGTGCCATCTGGTTTTCTTCATGTCTGTTTGTGTACTCAATAACTTTGAAATTTCAAACTGAAGCCTTTATTCAATCCACAAGGATAAAAGGTTCTTGTTCCGCTTTTTGTGTTTACGAGATATTTCATATCAGTTAATATGTATATTTTGCAGGAAAAGAGCTCTTACCCAATCATGACTCCATAAGATCTTTGAAGCTTTCCTTTGTGGTATGTTGCCATGATATTAACAAATGGCTCTGCAAAGTGAAATCTCATAACTACTCAATGGGATCAAGATCTCGTATATTTAATAACCAGGAAAACATAGTGAACCATGGTATTCTATACTACAGGCCTAGCCATGTTGCAACTAAGTTCAGGACTGGAGGCTTATTTCAAAAGCTCCTTGTTCCATTGGGTGCCATGTATTTTAGTTTTGGTTTGGGTTTCCAGTAGGTTACTGTTGTAGAAATTAAGAAATTTCACTTGGAATAACTAGCTTATTTAAGTGAAGTAAGTGTAAGATTTATTTATTTTATTTTCTTCAGAGTTAATATTTAATGTTTATTGAAAAAATAAAAACTTTTTTGTGTGACATTCACTAAAAAATTTATTATAGGAATCTTGGTTTTGTCCCTTTGAAGTTTATTTAATATATTTTGACAAAGTTTATAAAACACTGTGTCAAAAAAATGTTTCTTGTGATGCCTCTATTACTCTCTCAAAAATGTTGTTTTAACCCTTTGCCTGTCCTGTGTATCATATGTGATGCACAGGACATATGATTTCCACATTTGTGCATCCTATGTGGTGTATGCAAGCCATGATTTTAAAAGAGTAAAAAAACTAAAGACGTTTAAGAAAAGAGTCTACTATTGAGTAGGACGTCTAAGGAAAGGCCTTATTTAATATTTAGTGCATCTTATATGACCACAAGACACTTGCCTGTTTACAGATTTATAACTATTGTGAAGCAACTCAGCTTATTTGGCAAATAGAATGTGTTGAAATGTAGTGTTTCACATAAAAAAAAACCTTTGCATCACATGTGATGCACAGAGCGTAAATAACTTATGATTTGTACATTTTTATTATGTGAAACACTATATGCAACTGAGAGGCTTGAAAAAGAATGCAATGGAAATAGAAGTAATATTAATAATGCAGGTGCTAATGGTTAACTTTTTACATCAAATAGTTTTGGCTGCCTCCCTTTTTTTTTTTTTCAACAGGTATGCATACCACCTGAATATGAAAACTCAAACAGCTGTACAGTTTCAGAAACGCTCCCTGACCTAGTTGTCTGGTCCAAATCTATGGCCTGCTCACTCCAGTTGGAGTAACACCTCCTTGATTGACCATGCTTTCAGAGATATAGCTGTACACCAACCCACTATTGGCCAATTGTGGGTTGGTGAGGCTATTTAATCCATACTTAGGTTATTGAATTCAGAGTTATCTTTCTCATATACTGGTTACCATCCAAGGCTATAGGATCCTATCTATCCTGCTATTTACCCATAGCTGGGGGGAGATGAGATGGATTCATACCTTTCCCAAGGTAATTTGCATGTAAGTGAAAGTAATGAACTTGACTGGAAATTGAACTTGGCACTCTGATTCTTAAATCTGAGCCACTATCCATTACGCCACTGTTCATCTGGTCAAAGTCAGAAAATTTTTTCTTCTTGCCCATAATTCTGCTGTCATCCTTTACTTTTACAAGAGCCAGATCAAGCCGATAATGGAGTTCTGCTGCCATATATTAGCAGGAACTTCTCAGTCTTCACTTTTCAGTTTCTCGATAGAGCCTAAAAGTGTCTACATCACCTTGTGGGCAATGAATTATTTTCCACCTGATAACCTCTTTCCCACAGATGAAATATTGCAAGTTTATCGCTAATCTGTTGTTATTTCCATGGCAGATGTTCCACATTCCCTACGTATTTCATTAGTAAGGAGGAAGTTTCATTCAACAGCTTCTTCCCCAGAACTTTTACATTGAGGAACAAACTCCCAAGAGTATGCTTTCCTGATCATTACAATTTTAACCTCTTCAAGCCTAGGGGTTGGCCGTTTTTTTTTCTCCACGTATCCTCATAAATGGTACTTATCACTTAATCTGTAATGCTCTACCTCAAGTGGCTCTTAGGTCTTGTACAGGGTGAACATTATTGTAAATAACTATTTCAACTTGAAGGCACATTGATCTCTCATTTTCAGCATAGCCTGTCTACTCAGTGTTCTTCAACACTGATTCAACCTTTATACTTTAACTTTTGAATTCAGAGTTATCTTTCTCCTATATTGGTTGTTAACGTTGGCTAGAGAATCTAATCTGCTTGCTATTTAACCTATAGCTGGAAGGGAAGATATGAATTCATACGTTTGCCGAGGGTATGTGTGCGAAAGTAAATGCAACGATCTCGACCAGACTGTGAACTGGGGTTAACCAATTTCTTGTTCCGAGCCTCTTAAAAAGCATCACACGGCAAAAAATAAAATACTAGATGACAATTCAAAATGGGAGTGGGGAGGAATTGAGGAAACCTGGGAACGAATGCAACGATTTTTCGTCTTGAGGCTCTACCCATTGTGACACCCAACACAAAAAGAAATACCTTTCTGACCATACGATACATTGTACTCAAAAACTCTTGTCACATAGAACTGCTTATTGCTTGGGTTCGACAAATTACAATCACAGTTTACACACTACTAAGTAGTGAAGTAGTATGACTTTTTTTTTTTTTTTTTTTTTTTGCATGACTTAAAAAAGTGCTGGAAAGAGTTTATTTTCCATAAATTATAAATCAGATTCATTAAATACAAATCGTGTAATTTTCTCTCCGGTAAACAAAATCTACGACTAAATATCGAGGGAGAAAGATCGTTGCTCATTTAGCAAAGACGTTTATTTTGTTTAAGAGTAGCTCGGGCAATTTTTAGAGAGTTTAAAGAAATCTGTTATCCAAACTATCAAACCGTCTGTTGATGTATTTGAAAAATCTGGAAGAATTATTTAGTAAAAAAATGAATTAAGTTCTTAACATTTCTTAAATAGTTGTTGTTAAGTCAACCACTGCTTGTCTTCTTTCTTCCATCAATCTGGTTCCGAAAGAGTAAAGAAGAATTGACCATTTTCTAATTCCCAACTCATCCGTTAAAGACGTTGGTTATTCAATAAAGCCATTGGTATTCTTTGTGCAACTATTTGAACCTTAGTTCAAAAAATCTGTCCAGCAGTGCTGGAAATACATGAAAGAAAATGTAGTGTAGTGTACCATTTATATACGATTTAGTTTAAGATAAAAAAGTAAATGTATTTTTACTTTTTAGTAGTACTGCTTATTAATTGCTTCCTACGCCAAGGCGTAGGAAGCAATGGGGGTCTGGAGTGTAGCAGACCCCCCCTACTACGAGGTTAAAAACGAATTGTATATTTTCAGGGTCAAAGCTGGTTTATTTTTCAGGATAACTACATAGAAGATTTTCAGAACAAATTCCTTACCCCCCCCCCCACACCACATAAAATTGCTTCCCATACACCTCTAGTGTTCGTCTCATATCTATATAAAATATGAATGAATAAAAACAAAACAATCTTTTTTAACGGCACAAACTAATCGTTATTAGAAAAATAATGTTGAAAAATCCAACACATTTAGATTCAGAACCAACATGAATTTTGTACTTTTACCTACAACCAGGGATTGTCATTTTCCAAATAGTGACTTTGAAATAGAAAGAAAAAATATTTGTTTGAAATAGAAAGAAAAAAAAACATTTGTTTGAAGTTTATTACTTTTCAACTCAATTTTCTTCAAAGCCAAAAAGCAACGAAGATAAAAAAAAAAAAACTATTTGAGAATGTTGTTTTTTTTTTTTTAACTTTCTTTACAGTCAAAAAAAGAAACTAATAATACTAATTAGTTCCTTTGAATCGATTAAATCTACATTTATGGCACTATTGTGCTTCCGTAGATTTCAGTTATCAATGATGTTTTTTCAGCTAAAAGTTTGTCTTTTCTCAAAAGAATGTATCCAAAATATGAGTCTATTAAAAAGTGACATTAAAATAAAATCTGTTTTTATTTCTTCTGTGGTTTTTCGTTTGACCTAAAAAAAAAAAAAAAAAAAAAATGTTCATTGTCAATTATTTTTTTAACCATGTGTAACAACCATGAATCGTCGTCGTTTTTTTTCGTTTTTTTTGTTTCTCAGGCTATAGTTTCAAATTCTCTAACGATTTTTAGTAAATCTCATTTCCTAGTTAATGTTTTTTTTACTTCGCCTCATAATCAAAATGCACTTTTCTGTTTATATTTTTAAACGTTTGAAAAGTATTTTTAGTCTTTGCAAAGTTGTAGAAAAGAAAAAAAAACGGAACATTTCCCAATCAACCCAACTGAGGTTGTCATGAAAAAAAAAAAAAGCCCTTAAAAAACTTATATCGTCTCGAAGAACCTTAAATTATTTTAGGGTTAAAATATGGTTTATTTAGGGAGTGACAAGGATGACATAGAAAATTAGAATAAATTTCAGTTAAGAAGGAATTGATTGTCACAACTCAGATTTTTGGGATTTTTAATTTGGGCGACAATAATTTATTTATTTTTAATGAAGAGAATTATTATTATTATTTAGAAAATAAAACATTTTTGGGTACATTTTTAAATTTCA